AAGTAGTGCTCGAGGAAAGATGTTAGTTCCAGGTGAAGTATTTAACGCCCGTGTTGGTTCCTTTAGACCAATGTGGAATACGCGAAGTAGATTTAGGCATCGAGTGTTTGATGCTTGTACCTTTGTATGCATAAAATCTCGACGTTATGATCAAACAGAAAACAAGGACGTACGAGTACTTGGCACGTCTTGGAAATTTTTGACCATGAAAAGCTGAATAATTCAATGGCTTCCATCGATGTTGCTTACATCGCGAGATCATTGAAATTTCATAAGAAACATCGTATCTAATTGCTGGCCCAATTATGTTGTTAGTCTTTTTCCTCAGGAAGAAATTCAATTTCCGATTAGCAGCAGTAAAGAGAAAGGATAATGGTTAATGAGTTGGTAGAGAACTTCAGTATTGCGACTCTGACAACTGGATAAGCTTGGATCGGCGTAATTATTTCGCTGGATCGTTGCAGCTCTGGAACGATAATTTAATTTGACATCGCAATAGGTATTCCCGTTAGGCTGGCAGAAGTTTTGCAAGAAAATTAGGTGGGACGTGATATAAAGCATTCTAGTATTATCCAATTATTCAACAATCGTGATCCAATTACTGTCTCGATGTCGGTAATCCAAGGCGCCCTATCTTGATCGTTTCTCATTCTTCAGAATATCGAACGCAACCAGTCTTCGTCCGATACGATCGATTCAGTCTACAGCGTGTACCAACAAAATGGATCGCAAACGGACCGTATAAATAAAACTCTGTCGACGAATAAATCGCACAAGGTGATTCGATTCGGTGGAAAAACTCGATGAACCGTCCATAACGATCAACCACACCCGGATTTTCATCGATACACCTCTACTTAACAAGCTGTACACGTGTAAAGAAACTTCGAGATCTATTTCCGAGCAAATCATTTCCTTCTTCAAACCCTGTGTCATCTGCTCTCAAATTCCACGTGTTAGTCAATTCCTCATTTCTTAGACTTGGAAATTGCAATTGGATTTCTTGATACCCTAAAGGTCCCAGATTTGACACTAGAACTACTGGCTCGTGTAACAAATTGATCAAAGAAGCAGAGAGAATATTGGACTACGCAATTATGACTATATCTCGAGAAAAATAGGTATTTGAGGTTCATAGTCTATTAAAGCTAACATGTACTATTACTCGAAGACAACATAATCCCGTTGGTAAAGCATAACACTTACATTCTGGAAAATCGAGACCAGTCCTTGACGGAGAATGCTACTCGGATAGATAGACTATGTGGAGGGTATTTCTCGGATCGTGGAAGACAATGGAACGGAGTGTTGCAATTTTTAGCTGTTCTCTACGATCAATTTTCTGCCATGCATTTCGAAAGACTAGTTAAAGAGGTTTTAACGAACGTTCGACACCAGTCTTTGGGGTGACCTGTTCATCTGACGAACCAATGGTCCCCTAAGCGCTGAAGCACGATATAAAGATCATCGATGGATCTTGCCCCTTCTTCTGGCACTCGGATACACCGAGAAACACGTGTTCACCAAGAATATTAGTCCCTGATTTCCGTGGCCGGTTGTTTTTCGTACGTTATCCCGATGAGATTTAATCGGCCAAGGCTACCACGTTCCCAGGCCGAGGGAAGATCTGACAGGACGTCCGTGGAAGGAAACGAAAATCATCAATGATCTAAAGCTCATCGGTTTGTGGGCCAGCAACAGGTGTAGCTTATCTGTTGGATCGAATCAAGGTAATCTTCCCTCGTACTCCTCGCGACGATTCTCATCTAAGATTCGGTGGCAGAATTGGATTCAGGGGCGTCCTTATCTCATCATCTGGGTCTCCACTCCGTTCATGTCTGTCTCTCTTCGTCGTTCTTTCACGGTCTTGCAGTCTGGCTCTGTCTGTTCCTCGGGCTGAATCCCACGCACGCACATCTCGCCAGTATAGGAAGACAAGACGACGCCACGGCTTGGCCTCTTGTCGATGATGTATTCGTGCTGGCTGGGTAGGAAGGACCTCGAGTGACGCACGAAAACTCCCAAGTAAGAGCAAGATCTATGTCCTCGATTCGCCAACGATCAGCCACCTCCTTTTCCTTCGCGTTTCGTCTCTCGTTATTTCGTTACGACGTTGATCGAGTCGTCTCGGAGAAGAGTCTACGATCTTCGCCACTCTTTCTGAATTGTTCATTGATTACTATAAAAACTAGACGTTTAGACTGGTTCGAAGTTTCGTTGCAAGATGATTCTCAGCAGATGGATTCTGATTTTCTTGTTCGGCTTAGAACACGAAGGAAATAGAAAAGCTTCTCTAACGAGCGATAATATCGTCTGTACACACATACTTCTTGCAATGACTAATACTGATAGTACATACATCCTCCATTTCTCCTTACTATGCACTTTATCAATAACGATTCTTATACCACACCCCATTCAACTTAATCATTCATCTAATTCACCTTTCCCTTTGCTTTTATTTCTTTTACCTCTGTAATATCTAATCTGTATATCATTTCCACACAATCATTCCCATCTTGAATGGAAAATATTCATCATCGATAAATTCCAACAGTTAATACTGTACGAAGATCTACGAGGACCATCACCAAAGATCCCACGCTTTTTGTAATACGAATATATCAAAATTCTAACTCACCAGAATCTTCGTATGTCGCCTATAAAATCTACCAAATCATTCGATATAATTATCCCTATCTTCAATTGAAACCCAACAAATCCACCAATTTCTTCATAAAAATTGACAGCCAATACTCTGACATTCATCAAAATTCCATCTCAACAGTTCCTTTCTTCTCAACAAAATCTATGAAATCACTTATTGTTAGTCCAATAATTCTCATCCTCAACTAGTACCTACCAATTTCTTCGCAAAAATTGACAGCCAATACAGTACTCGCCTCATGTGTATTCTGACATTCATCAAAATACCATCTCAACAGTTCCTTTCTTCTTAAAAAAGTTTATGAAATCACTCATAATTATTGTTAGTCCAATAATCCTTATCCTCAACTAAAACCTACCAATTTCTTCGCGTAGAAGTCCCAAAGATCATCATCAAATATCGCCCAATCCTTCTCTAACATACGCTATCTTCATCTCTAATCAAAACTTAGCAGATGCATCAATCTCTTCGCAAAACGTTCATCATCGAGAAATTAAAATACCCAATCTAGGACTTGCAAAGAACATCGGCAAATTCTTCTTCCTATTCCTTCTCTGACACTCTGACACACGCGAAAATTCCAAGTGAAGCAGTACCTTGGGTCCTGATCGAGGACCTCACTCGTCGACGAAATGGTTGGAACGCAATGGTCAGGTGTTCTGGAAGCATCGTTCTGGCTCGAAGCCCGCGCAGGATGGCAAATAGAAAATAATCGCGGTACGTTCCGCGAAACGGATTGCACGTGCGCGAGCGAGGTTGGAGGAAGAGAAATGGACCGGAAAGGTGGAAAGGCAGCCGAGGCCTGGTACGAAGCCATCGCTAGCCGATCGGTCGCATACAGGTCCGAAGATACAGTGTGCGAGAGCGAGGAACGCTTTTCAGCATGGGAGTGAGAGCATGGAACAGGTGTACGCTCGAGAAAGCATATACCTGTACACATCCGCGGAGGCTGCTGCCTTCTCGGTGCCAGGTGTACAAGAAACGCCCGGAATTCACCGCGTCGAACTTCTGACCCCGAAGCGTTTATTAGCCACGATCTATTGCTCAATACGAAGCGTGTGCCGCGTGTTGTGTTGGTCGAACACCGTTCAGCGCGCACATGAGTCCTTAGATCGTGTGCCGTGCCGTGTTAGCAAAGATGCTTTTAGATTTATGGCAAAGGTTTCATTGAAAGTATGTTGCTTTCGATTGGATGGATCGTAACAACTTGGCATTTTAGTGCCTTTGTTTTCGATAGCAGAAGATCAGGTTTGAGGCTAATTTTGGATCGGGGTTAGGTTTGGGATCCGTCGAAATTATTTTGTAAAATTGTTTGATTTCTGGATTGGGCTGAAATTTCCGATCGATTATTCTTTTATTTGTTACGAGTTTCGTTAATTTTACTGCTGGTTCAAAGCACCATTTTTTATTTCTAATCGTTTAATTAATTTTACCGATGCTTTGGGGAAAAATTATGTTTAGTTTTTTAGTTGTAGATGGCGCTTGCGAGATAGCGGTCTCAATATGGAAGTACTGTTTTGTTCTATTTGTTGAGAATTTATTTTTTTCATAAGTTTAGCTAAGTTTCTGGCACTTTGAAGGAAAATTATTTTTGGTTCTTCGCTTACAAGACTCTCTTATAGAGCGTTTATTGCAACTACTTTGATAGGTTATTGATATTCTTTTGCTTGCATTGGCTACATCTGCGTTTTCCGGACTGTTTGTTGATGATTAATGATCAACTAAATTATTAATGTTATTGGAGTCGGTATACTTTATAAAAGCATTTCTAAGTATTGATAATAGACTGGTGAAATTTTGAACAACGTTTCTGCTGAATTGTAAATACTTGGCTATGGTACATACACGCTTCAATCACTGGCTACTGACGTTTGGCAAGTGCGCAGGGTGTACTGCTTCTGCGATGTTCCGCAGACTATCGAAAGAGAAATCACAGGCAGAACAATTTAAAATTAGCCTCCTATGTTACATCGAAAATAATTCCGTTTCAATTACTTCGTGCTACGTACGAGTTCTGATAAATCGATCCGAGGTAACTATTGATTTCATGGACAACTTCTTACGTTGTGTACAACCATTTAACAAATTATCGGAAATTTTTTGCGCCAATTTACGTTGCTAATTGTTGTACAATATCAGTATAGAGTATCTAGTATTTGTTCTTAGCATTTCGTTTTTAATTTACTTTACGGTTTAGTGTATTTTTTGCCTTCTATTTAAAGGAGATGTAATACAAGATGAAATATGGACTGTAGGTGAGAAATCATAAGAATGCGAAAAATATAAAATTGAAGGGCACGTTCAAAATTATGACTTTTGTATTTTTACTCACCAGAGCGATCTGCGGGATGTACTGACAGATACAATCCCTTGTTCCCATCAGGATTGTTCACCCAATGGTCGAGAGGTTCGCTAACATTTAATGTCAACCATCCCTCTTTTCCCGTCGTCGTGTTGACTGCGTCCACGTATTGCAACTCCCTTGTTCTATAATGTGAAAAATATAATCTCATTAATCCATGAAATTAAGTTTAAAATAAAAATTTCTACTCAAAAGTATTATTTGCATTACGAATTTTTTAGTAAATAAATTTTAAAATACTGTATACTTTGAAATACTTTTAGAAATAATTCGTTAAATTTATTTAATTTTCCTTTCTTAATATACAGTAATTTTTGTAATTATTAAATATCTATACTTTCAATTAAATTCATTATGAATATTATAATTTTAATAATTATGGTTAAATTTAGAGAAAAATAATGTGTAACGTGGAATTGGGTTTTCAGAGGAACATGTACCAAACATCTTATTCTACCTGTAATGTTATCTTCTGACTAACAATAAGCTGTAAGCATTGCAACGCATTAGCCGCTAAATGTTCGGTGTCACTAATATCTCTGCAATTTTCCTTGCATACATCAAGGAAAACTCGCGTTACTTATTACGTTAACACGCAGTTGTGTGGACAGCGAACAGAAAATACTCGTCTTATGGAAATTATCCGCTGATCGAAACAAACATCTTCGTTCTCGTACCTTTACACATTTTTCTAATTCGGGAAACGAGACTTTGAATATTTTCTTACTCCGCATGAGATTACGAATTTCAAACGTGAAACGTCAACACATACTGTTCGCCGAGATTATACAATGGCTCTTGTAAATATCTGGACATTGATCGATTTGCAATAACATTGCACGTATGTTATCGCAAAGCGAAAATTAATTATCGATAGTAATATTTCCCTGTCGTTTCTCCAATCAATCCAATATAATATAATCCATTAGATAATATAAAATAATCTAAATCTGAATTAATAGAATTAAAATAAGCTAAAATCAAAAATAATACTGTAAACGTAAATAAACAAAAAGAAAATATTCGACTCGCTAAAACTCAAAGAAAAGGAATCTTTCGAACGACCTGACACATAAAACGAAAAACGACGATTAATACAAATTTTCGATTTTTAAACCTATTTACCCAGAAATCCCGATAAATCAGGATAACTTTTCCTTTGAAAAGAAAAATCCGAGTTATTGAGGTTCGACTGCATTGAAATTAAAAATACATTGAAAGAGATAATATCTTATAGATCGAGTACATACATCTGGGAAGATATAAAGTAGAGAAAAATTCATAATTAATTACTTCGATTGGAAACTTTTGTCAGCGAGTGTACGTTTGGTCAATTAGCGATAAGCACAAAGAGTGCTAATTAAGAAGGTCCAGGAATCGACATTGGATGGTGAAAGACGTATGTTGTTTCTCTAATAGGAATCGTTGCACGGCTAGAAATCGCGCAACTCATCGATAAAATCGATCAATAGGAAACCACTGAATCTTACGTAACCGACGTGTGACGAGGCTCGCGATCGACTATTCGCCGTGATTCCTCCTCGATCGTGACTCGACGATTCGCGCAAATCCATCTGCACGTGGCTCGTGTCAATAAGATTTCAGTGAAACACACTAATCATTGTTCATTGAGCAAACGAGCTCACCTCTTGATCCCCGCCGGACTAAGGAATTCCTTAAACGACGCATTTATCTTTTTCCCGGGACTGATTATCGTTCCCGTAATTGAATAATTGAGACCGCTAAAAATGTAAACAGACATAGAGGCGAATCCTCGATGAGGCGAATTCTCGCATAAATTTCTCACCGATTGTGCGCATTATATGTCGACAAACACTTTGGCTATCTCTATTTTTTTTCCTCCCGTTTCTTCTTTTATTTTTCCTTTTGGTTCGAGATTTTGAGAATGTTTTGAGTTTTGAGAGAATTTTAGCAAATTTTATTGGTGGTTGGAATGCGATGTATCGACTTTTTGTAATTTTTGGGGTGATTAATTTTGTACTTTAATATGTTAATATTTAAATATTTCTTTTATTATATTTTCCAATTTAGCTGTCTTATTTAATTTGGGGAGATTTTGAAACATTTTCGCATTTGAGATAACTTGTATAAATGAATTTTTATGACAGTAATTATTAATATATATTAATTACTATTTGGTTATTTTTTGAGTCTAAGAATGTGTTTCTTCTTTATTTAATTTTAGATGATTTGGGAATTAAGAAGTATTTTGATACTGGAGAGAAGCTTGTCGTTGACAGAATTTTAATTTCATTTTATACTCTTTAGGAATCCTTCTAATTTTAATCTATAATCCTTCGTTCAACAATTTTTTGAATTTTAGAATTTATTTTCTCTATTCACTTTCGTATAATTTAAAAATATTTCCATGTTTAGGAATGACGTGACGAATTAATATTTCATATATCAAAAATCCATTAGTATCTACGTATTTCTACACTCGTAAAATTTCTGATAAAACGCAATTAGTCCAAAAAAATTATTACATTCGAAAGGAATTTGATTCTTAAAATTCTCATCAGCTAGTATACCATTCGGAGTACCGTAGATTCGCAACCTTTCCCAATCTCTCAATATTCGTCGATTCCTCGAATTCTAAGATATATCGATTTTTGCATAAATAGTCAAAACAGTACGCGACTGGTTTGCGTTGATGCTTGAAAAAACCTTCAATGAAATTAATTTCTCGAATTACGTGTCCCAACACGTACAGCTGCTAGATTGTTTTTCGATGGAGTAAAAAAGAAAAATTCATGAATTCCGAGGCATGGAATCGCATACACTTTAATCTCACGGCTGTGCATTAGTAGACGCAAGAATCGATGAAGAAGTCACGCGGTTATCAATCAACTTTTAGCTTCCCTGAGGCGTTATGTCTATTTGAATTTCAAAGCACGGCCGTTATGAACATCGTAATAAACAGGACATTATTTCCGCGGCAAATTGAATATCATTACCCTATGACAAATACTGATTGGATTTGAACAATTTGTTGAATGCAAAGCTTTACGTTTGAAAAACAATCGGTGACAAAGAATGGAAGCATACAGGCTATTAATAATTTTATCGTCTGCAATTAGAGCTGAAAATAAAATACGGAGTATCAAATTCCAGATCATAATTACGTTTAACACGATCAAGCAGATATTACGAAATAAGATGCAATTATCGTCGGCTTAATAGTGTCGTCAAAATAGTACGTACGATTCCGTATAGTCGTACGATGCATTTGTAATTACGCTGGCACAGTGTTGTATTCAACAACGAATCATCGCTTTATTAATCATTTAAAATTCGCTAATAATTCCATGTATTATTCATTTTGAAATATTATCTGGATTTCAGATTAACTACGGACATTTGTTTAATTAATCGTAGCTTCATAATCGAAAGTCCCGATATAATTGATTGTCCTCGTGTAATTCTATTTCAATTTTTAAAGCAGTATTAAGTACCGAATGCTCAATTATAAAATTATTACTCCCTATAAATTTAAATTCACGGCAAAACTCCATTAAATCATTTAGACACTGTCAAACTAAATATGACTAAATGTCACTAAATAAAGTAACCAAATTATGGACCAAACGAAAAACGAAACCACAATTACTCAAGACTCATAAATCCTTTTCCTTATCCAACCAAAACCAATTCCAAAACCAGTCCATTCCCTATAACACCCAACGATTACGATCCACTTTTCCAAATTAAAACCAAAGACCAATCTACCACCGTCAAGTCCAGCTACCCTGTATCCCTACACCAATCAAGGATTCCCAACAATCCACCCATTCATAACCACATAGACCACCGAGACGACCCAAGAACAGACGTCCAAGAAACGCTGGTGAGGGGAAAAATTCATGAATCCCTAATTGAGTCTAAAAAGCACGAGACCCTGAGGCTCGTTACGGCAAGTGTCACTGTCTGACTTTCGTCAGAGAAGCCCTCTTATCGTGGTCCAGAGACAGCTGACGCGCTGGTACCCCTACCACAGGGAACTCTTATGGAAACCTGGCGCGCACACGTAAGAAACCAGAGTCGCCAGCTTGTCTCGGCTGGACCAGAAGGTGGAGGAGGATAAAGAGGTGGAGGAGGATGCGTCACGCACCGAGTTTGACGGAAGAAGCCGAAGAAGAAAAGTAAGAAGGAGGAGATGGAAGAGAGGAGGTGGAGTGACTGCGTGCGTGTAACTGCGTAGGCACAACCAAGTAACTCGTGCTCTTAACTCGCAGCTCAGAGCCCGTCTCCACGGCTAATTTACCTCAATTTACGGAATAGCGTTTCCTGTCGGGGCCTGTATATCGGTCAGGTCGCAGTACCAAAGTCTACGGAGGTATCAGACAGGGATGGCTCTAGACACGCTGTCGCCACACGGTCTTCCTCGTCTGTGAAGCAGACACGTGGACACCGAACGGCCAGCGAGCTTTAACCTACCAAACCGACGATCTTCGCGATCGACTAATCGTCCTTTGTAGAAACTTCGATGGACAGGGAGCAAAAATATCGTGGTGTCTAGATGACGATCTTGCAGAGGTAACTGAACGGGGTTAGAGATCGATGAAGATGATCCTAATGTAGAAATGGTTCTTCCAGTTTTATTGTTACCAACTACGTTTCTTAAGAATCTTTGATAAAGCGAATCTTTAACGAACCTTTAATAAGATTCGACTAATTTGTATAATATCAATGATCAATCTACCAGAGATGAAAATCGGTGTACATATACAGAGAAGTGTGGTGTAACAGAGTCAGTGCTTCTAGAAAGGAATCGATCGTTATTCGTGCACGACTAGACGGCCCTGGATATGAATGAGAAAGGTAGAATCGAAGGGAGACGGGTGGGCTGGTCCCCGAAACTCTCACAGGTAGAACAAATACCTGAGATTTTTTCGGCGACTTAAGGACGGCCTAATTAGAGGCACGATGACGATGTCAAAAACCACGGACTCTGCCTGAAGGAACACGAAATTGGTCTAGCCACCCACCCGGGTGGGACCCTGCTCTCTCGGGCAACGGAGCAACACAGAAGAGAGGAGTACCGTTTTTCCACGATGCCCTCTCTTCCCCGTTCTCTTCTTCGCTCAGCAGTTAAAGGTCACCTCGAAACTATCAGCCACCCCTACTCACCCCGAAATAGCAGCCAGAGCTGGCTGTGCAGGTAGGGCCAATACCTGGAACACTTTCCCGGGAACCTAGACCTTCTAATTGCCGACACGACAATGACATTAAGGGAAGGGGAATTTCATTGCAAAGTTGCGAGAAAAAACACGTAATTCGCCACCTTTAAACGCGTTCGCTTCGACAAAGGGACAACGGGGAGCGAAAGGGAATTAGTTCCGCTTTTTCAGAGATACTTTTCGGTGGTACTTCCTTTCGAGAAACGAACAAATACACGGTTCGAGGATAAAAAGAATCTTCTTTTTTAAACGTGAGATGGCTTTTAGGTGCATCTGTTGATTGATCGTGAAAAGTTGATTTTTTGAGATGCTTCTGGATTTTGGATTTACATTGATGGCGGTGTTAGATATCGGTTAAATGGAGCAATGAAATCCACGGATCGTAAAAATGGATATTTTGGTTATCCTTTCGTGTCATAGTATTTACTTGGATTGGCTTTTAAGAATGTACCGCGAGTCGTGATAAGAGCGGAGAGGAGATTTGCTTTGAAAAATAAGTTAATTTAGCGTTCGAAGGATTGACTTTAAAAATTTGTCGAACGTACACGTGACAGTGGTTCTCCGTATTACGGTTCTATGGAATTCCAGTTACATCATGGCAACAAAAATAATCGTGTTTGACTATTTACCCTAATAATAACAATCGGAAAGCGTAATTCGAGCGAAGTAACATTGTTCCTTCGAATAGTGACTCTTAATTTATTTCTATTTTACTTCAATTTTTTCTAATTTTTCCACGATTTTAATTCAAAAAATAAATACGCATTTAAAATCCAAAAGAATTCCTAATGTCGGAGAAATATCAAGTAAAAATACTTTAAATTGGGAGCACTTACTGCACGGTAAAGTGTCGCATATTTAATTAAAAACCTTCGGATAATCGTTGAAAAATAATAAAACACTGATCACCGTTGATGCAAACACGATCTCTCTCTTACGAGGAGTTTTAAAGCTTTATTATTCTTAGCTAGAGATTTCTTCCGAACAGTTATCGATAGTTATTACGTGGAATTGTAGCCTAACGGCAATATCCAAAAATTGACACCAGCGTGGAAATTTTCGGATATTGCCATTAGGTCACAAGGGCACTTGATAAATATTCGACATAAATCTCTAATTAAGGCAATAATAAAACATCAATCATAAATACCTTGAAAACTATTGAGTAGTTGCCCTTATAATGAATGACAATCTACAAACTTACAAAGTTTCAACTAAATCAATGACTGGAGGGACTTGCACTCTCCTTCTTAGACAATTTTTAGCATAAGCAACAGTGTACGACTAATTTAAGATGGAATTAGGTGAATCACCCTGTATATACGTCCAGGCCGTTCCAATGGCGTTCCTCGGACTACATGCTCATAAGTACCCGGGACATATTGGTCGGTCCGCAGTGATACTACACACGCCGAAACGTGCAAATTAATGACTAAAAGCAATATTTATCACCTTCTTATGCAATCAACGGCGAACTTACTAATGGTATATGAAAATGAAATGGGCTATTCGTCGATATACCCGGCTGATTTAAATATCACTGATTGAATTAATTGCGCCTGCCTTTCTACCAGTTTAGACGAACTTTCCTTATTCGCTGTGCGGCTTAGAAACGAAATGACTCGAAGATAAAGAACTTTTTGAATAACAAAACAGTTCCACATAGCTGAACTCCTACGAACGCAAATGTTATTTTCGCGAATTATTTTTCAGACGTAATTCCATTCCATTTTATTCATCGTTCTATTTTATTGTATTGCACATATATCGACACAACAATAACAAGAGTCGAAAGGTTCGTGGATTACTTCTTTCTCGAGTTTCTAATTAACGGGAGAATTAGAAAGAAGTCGAAGTGACTTGTTAGATATATTACGTATCATCGAGAGCATGTATTAATGTTAACCCTTTTAACGGTTAAGAATTCTAGAAATTTATATAGTCAATGTCGAGTTTGAAACGCGAGAGTAATGATATTTATACGGAATACTGGAACTAAACGATTCTGTACGTTGATTAACCCTTTGACTACTGTGGACGCCTAAAGGCGCTTAGAAATCTTGCGCTTGTGCTATTCTAGGTGCCTAAAGGCGTCGAAAAATTTCGTTTGCTGATGAATGGAGAATACAAAGAAATAAACAATATTGTTTTAAGACAGTGGAATATATTGTTTTGATTTTTATTTAAATAATTTCTCAGAAATGCACACCTAACGAAAAATTTCTCAGTGTACATTACAAATGGATTTCTACCGTATGGTACGGCTGATACGTTTTAAAGTCTACCGTAGTCAAAGGGTTAATACGCTTCTTTTATACTACTGTAAAAAAGCTTCAGGCTGCCATTTCCTTGTAATGAATATTATATTTAATCGAATACGTACTACAAGTCGGTAGTTTCAATACGGAAACCCGAAAACATTCAACTTTCAAGGAAAATCCAGTACTTTAACATGTACCTAAATATAGCATACTCAGATAACGATAATTAACCCGTACACGACGATCATAATCAATAACCAGCCAGGTTGACGCACAATTACTTTCTATCTCGCTAAAATACCATTAATTTCATTAAATGCATCCGCTCGTCCAGGATAACTGCAAAAGCAAAATGTTCGAAACCAGTCATTTGGACAGACTCGGTGGTTCGATCGGCAAAGACTGGGAAAAAGACGACGTTCCTCGGAAACACGACGTATAATCCGCTCTCGGGCCGGATGATCCCTAACTTTCATCCGAGTAAGTCGCGTCGCATGCAAACAAGCCTCATCAGCAGCAAGACTCACCCGTCCTCGGTTCTCAAGACCCTGTAGGCCGTGATCATGTACGATCCACGATTCCTCCGATTCTTCACGTCCATGCTGCGATAGAGCCTGAGCTCTGCACCGATTATGTGTTCCCCGGGTGGTACCTCGGAGACGTCAAACCAGAGCCTTTTGCCGCGCTCATGCCTCACTCCGGGAACATGATGATCTGTAGATCGAGAAAAAGCGTCTCATTAACCGGCAAGAACCCGTGCATCGGGCTGAAACGGAACACAAACGCAGATTTACGACGGGATTGTCGAATGGCAATTAGCCTCTTCACCCGGGGTAAATCGTTCTTACTCGTTATCCTTCGCTGGATGCCGATAGCTGAAGAACTTTCGTAAACGTCCTTTCGACGATTCCCTTCGTAAATGTGTACGTGGATGGATTTTAAGAGAAAAGGGATCTTTCCTCTGCTCTTTTTCCCTTTTCTCTCATTTTTTTCTTTTTCTTTTTTTTTTTTATCGTACCCGATGCTAGAACGCGATAGCGCGAAGGTATAATGCGCCGTAATGGGACCGTGAGCGCGAGTAGTAAAAGGGAAATAAATGAAGTGGATCGTTACTGGTTGTGTTACGGAATGTCGCTGAACTTTCCTCCGTGAGCCCTATGGGGCCGGTCAGTTGGTTAAATTGTGTGTAAATGAGTGATTCTGATCATTCGAGAGTGTAATTTTATGTGGGTAATATATACAGAAGGTGTGTGTCCCTATTGGTCTCATAGGAAGGTAGAGGGGTGATAATTGAGTCTGGTTATTAGACAGATTAAATTTTGAAGTTTCTTTTAGTTCTGAGTTAAGGAATTTGGACTTTGAATTTATGGATGTTTGAAATTTAAGAAAAGTAGATTTTGAATTTGTAGAAGGAAATGGTTAGAAAAATATATGAGAAATTTGTAAAAATTATAATATTTGCAAGAATTATAATGTTTTAGGAAAAGAATGAATTTGGGATAAATCTTGGTTTTTTACAAATTCTTAATGGTTTAAGCTTTATTGACCTGTGATGTATAAATCTGTGGATTAATTGGATAAATTATTTACTGGAGTTAATTGCTAAAGTGCTATGAATAATGTGTTGGCTACCTACAAACCTCTTAGTTTAAAGTCTATTGAACGTAGATGAATCTGTGTACATATGAATTTATGAATTAATAGAATGGCACAATATTTAAAGAAATAAATTACCAAGGTACTATACATATATTGGAATTACAGGAAAATAAAAATAATTTAATGCTGGCTCTTTAAAAACTCCATGATTCGAACTCTATTGACTATATACAAATATGTGTATTTATAAATTTATGAATTTAAAGAAATAAACTCCCGATTAAATTTAATTGTGAGAATGTTACAAACAAATCAGAATTGCAGGAAAATAAATATAAATCTAAATTCTATTCACAAATCTGTGGATTAACAAAATTATCAGGATAGTAAAAGGAATAAAGATCAGTAATTGAGAGGTACAAATATATTATCCTATTGTTGCGTACTAAGTGATAGAAGTATTTGCTGTAATAGCAATTATTGACAGAAGATATGGTTATTACTCATTTGCATATTCCGACAATGGTTCATGTCCTCGCAAACAAAAGACGAATCGCGTCATTTGTCTTTTCCGCAACTACCTCGTTTAAAAGTAATTATCCTGCTGTTCAGAGGTATATCACCGCTAGTCGTTATCTCTCTATTCGAAAGGCGAAACCTTAGAAAACAGTCGAGAAGGTAAAACCTCGGTAATCTCGGTGAACTGAGTAACCTGTTCATTTACGATAAATTTCGGACCGATGTCCCAAACTTTCCTCCTCTAATTGTCTACCTAGATATTGCCTAGAATTCCTCGGCAACCGTTCCATTCCCCAAATGTCGATTTTAAGTGCAGTCTTCGAAATATTCTATACCTCCTGTATAAGCATTTTTCGGCAAGCAATAAAATTATTAAAAGCATGAGTTAATAAATTTTTCTATAGTTAAAAAATCAAAATGAATAACAATTATGCTAAATTTGTTAAAGAACAGGAGAATTATAATTATAGTAAACGGTATCGAGACACTCATCTGCCAAATCGATGAACTACGCGAAATAGAAATTAGACATTTTAAAAATTAGTAAAAAATATTAGCACCAATTAAGCGCTTCGACAGTGGAATTTTAAAAAATTCAGAAATCGGAGTTAATCGGTTTGATGATCTGTTAAAAGCCGAAAAGCTATATTTTTAATTAAAGGGAGAGTAAATTCCACCTTAAGTAGCGTGGTAAATGGCTAGAATAATCTATGTTGCCTTTCAAGTTTATCGCAAACTAGAGCTAAAATCATGCGTGACACGTTAAGTGCCAGTTTTATCATAGTTCAAAGAGATCAAAGTGCCAATAATTTACCATTAACTTTTCGCCTGAATCTATAAAACTGACAAGCTAATGAAAAATCCATAACAATTAAGTGACAAACGGTGTAAACGCCACAGTTAAAAATCGCAGAACGAATGGGGAAACCCTAATTCCTTGAACAGTCTTCAGAAAATCCTCACCTCCATAATTCATACACACCATTTACCATTCCAGCCCTCGATTATTACGCAATTAACCCAAGTCTCAACAAACACCCTGGAAACTCCCTTAGAACTTCCTCTAACCACCTAACTCATCCGACACATGCATACCATCAGGCACAACTTACAACGTATTACGAAATCCTTAATTACTCGTGCAAAGACAAGAAGGACCGAAGAAAGAGAAAAAGAAGACGAAGAAAAAGGTAAGAGAAAGGGAAGAAGACGAAGGAGTCGGATATACCACGACTTGTTCAAGACAAAAAAGAGTATCGTTCCAAGTAGCGATCCGACTTTCAGCAAACATCGATCAACCGGGTTCTTCCGAAGCCCGGTACCCTTCAGCAGCCAACGGTAATTCCATCGTTCACGCTAAACTGGCTGCAAATCAATTTTCCCCGAAACAACGAACCGAGAGCCTCGTTCCAGTCACATCTTAATCCCCGACCGTTCTCGAGGCTCTCCACTTCGGGACGATTGGAACGAGGGATCGGCGGATCGTCGGACGATGGAAGAAGAAGAAGAAGAGGGCGGATGGACCACGGGCAGCAGGCAGCCTATAGCCGACACCGATAACCGGCTATCCTCGTTCCGGCACGAGATCGATAAGGGAATCGTTACCCTCGTAAATGAGAGGCCCCCAGAACGAGCCGTGGACAATTCGCAGCGTGAAATCGTCCTTTTTTCTACCGCCAAAGCGAGCGCCTCGGAGAGCAAAAGGGAAGCAGCAGTAGGTACCCTTCCAGCGACGGTGGACCGTGGCCCTTAAGTAATGCCTAATGTTTCTCCCGAGGAGGCCGACTCACGGGAGGTGGAGAGGGAGAGCTAGAACGAGGAGCAAAGCGAACGAGAGCCGAAAAGAAGGGAGAGAGCAGGGAGGGACGAGAGCATAAAAATTTGTTTTGTTTTTCTCTCGGACGGTCGCATTCCAACGGCACCTGATTGCCGCGAGCCGAGCTGGACCCCTCGGCTCTCGGGGTGGTCCCGAATAGCTTGGGACCATCCTGGACCGCTCCACGACCGACTGGACTTTTGTTTTTTACCCCACCAGCCTCCTCTTTCTCTACGTCCTCGGTCCTCCTCCGACAGTCCTCTCTTGTACACCTACGAATGCTCTTCTCTCTTCTTCTCTCATCCTCCTGTACCTCTTCTCGGCTCACCCTCTTCCCTTCCCTTTTCTTCTTCCCGGCTCTCTTCGCGTCTCGTTCCTCCGCGCGTAACATGCACGCGAGAAACTCGCAGAGAGAGAGAGAAAGAGAGAGAGAGAGAGAGAGAGAGAGACGGAGTGGAACCCTCTTTTCTCGTAGCTCTACGTAGCTCTGTTCTTGCGATATTTTCCTGGAAATATCTGTGAGCCGTTTCTCGGAGATCCGCGCCGTTTCGCGGGGCTGATCGACGATGAGTCGATCTCACCCGTTCCACGATCCGTTCGACAACTTTCGACCGGTTGGATTATTAGTTGGAAGTAACGCCGCCGCGGCTGGATCCTCCTTTTGGATCATTCGAACACGTCGACCGTGGGAATACGCTCTCTCTCTCTTCCTCTGTGCGCCGCGCCGCTTAGACGCTTACGCATAGTTTGCATAATTGCGGCCAGATCGATCGTCCTCCACGGGCATCGAAATTACCGGCATTTAATTGCTTCGAGGTTTCACATCCGATGGACGTGCGGCGTTTTTGCTTGATAAGGATTCGACACCGGCTGATTTCGGCTATTGTCTCTTTTACTCCTTTAATTGGCATTTTCAAAGAAAATTCTTCGTCGAATATCGTGATTCCCGATATACACTTTTCAGAGATACTTTTTATACTAGTCCAATGAGTATTATATTACAGTAGTATAAAATTAGGCAGAAATTAGACAACATTGGACAAATTTTTTAACAAGTTAAATTAAAATACTGAAGACTATGTTTAACCCGATACTGAAACGTAAAGGGTTAACGTAAAATGTTAAATATAAACGCGATAAAATTTAACCCCTTAAATTTCCTTTATTTCTGTCAGAAAGTTAACGCGATGCCACCTTGTTAGTCGAATTTATCCAAAATCGTGTAAACTCGAATTTTCTTACGACTTTAATAACGAGTCGTTAAATCGACACCAAAAGAATTTGCCAATTTTCTTGATTTTCCGATTTTTGCAAAAATAATTCGGTCTTTATGGTGTTAAACATCCCCGAATAGCCTTTGATAAACCTGCAAAATACAAAAGTCCCGAAAATTGATCTCGTTTATCGTAGGATATCTTATGCATGCCGAAAAAAATTCGCTATAAATCATACTGCAGGATCACGGCGATTGAAAAATATCGCCGGAGCCGTAGCAGGATGATGAAACGTCCCAAAGCACCGCCTCATAAACCCCGTAACCTAGATGAAATCTCATCGGGACAATTTCACCGACTGTGAAAGGAGTTAAAGAGCCGACCAGGAGAGCGTAGATACGAACAAATGGAGGCACGAAGAGGAACCGAAACTCAACAGCCGTCGCACACGTCGGGCCTAATCATTAGTCTAACTACGAGCAGAGGGAACGGTGCTCGCGGCATTCGCCACTTTTACACAGCGCGCAGAAAGAACCAACGGTCCATCCATCTCGTTCTGGCATGTT